ATTATGACAACTACTATGGAAGACGACTTCGGACTAGGTGCGTTCTACTAAGTCGCCCTGACAACAAGACTAAGTTTCGAAGAGGTCAAACCACTTCTAAAATATCTCAAGTTTGTAGTAAATAGCTAATAAGGGTTTCAAAACTTACATATCTGGTAGGAAGTAATCTTGCCTAAACTCTTTATCTATTATGAATCCAACCTCGATTAATATGAGATTTTAAAGAAAAAAAAAGTGACACAATTAAATTTTGCGAAAAAGGCTCTTAAATTGATTAATATTGCCAACGGTGAATACAGACTTACTCGTCAGGCAAAAAGAGAAGAGATCTTTTTTCCTCTTTCAGTTTTTGTAGAATACCTTTCTCTGCCTCGCTGCACGGCATCAAAGGAATAATTTGACCAGGCACTAGCGTAACGCCCGGTCGAGAGATTTGATCCATAGTGACACGAGTTCCAGATTCTAGGAGAGTATGGCCACTGATATCGACAAAATCTTTTCCAAGGTACTGACGGGGAAAAGATTAAAATAATTCGTATGACGCAAAGTTCACTTACATTAAAAAATAATAGATACACAAATAAAAAAGACACATAAGAGGCTTGAACAAGGAATATTTTGCAAAAGAACGAGGAGTTTGTCAAATGAAATAATGTCTTACGGTAGAAATATTAAATTCAAAATTTGGTATGGATGTAGGAGCTTCAAGTCTATTAAAAACCTCGTCGATGTTCATTGCAAGAAATCATTTAAAGCAAGGTTTTTTGGAGCAAATATACGCAGGATAATTAGCAAAAGATTATTACTGTGACTTCAAATACAAAATAAGGTTTGTACAACAAATTCAATTATATTAGTTGCTAGTTTACTAATGAGATTCTACAAATGCTTTTATAGATTGGCAAAAAAAAGCTTGGGGATACATCAAGCGAGGAATATATAAGAGAGTTATCAATGGTCAACATGCAAACTTATAGATTATCGAAAGGAAGAATAATTATTCAAATCATTACTTTATTAATGCTCTTTAAAGTTAGAAGAAGAGATCAATTAAACTAAGAAAAGCATGCGTATCCTACAGGCTCAACAAAAAATTCAATTGCTAGAAACTATAAAAGCCGTTTAGTGAATACATAATGCCAACGGACGCTCAATATCAAGTACATGCATTGCTCAAGTTCTGCCCGTAAAAAAAAGTGAGCACCAATTGCAAAATGCAAATGCCAAAGCCTCATACAGGCGTGAAATAATGGAAACAAAGCCTTGTTAACAGGTTTGTAGAATGATTTCGAAGTAGGGCGCATAAACCCTAATAGATGCATAGTATAAGTAATTATGTATAACTAGATTTGCTAGAACACTTACTGTATTTTCCGGCGTATAAGACGACTTTTCACCATAAATTTCTGCTCCTAAGTGGGGGTCGTTTTATACGCCGAATGTAGTTTAGGGATCGCTAATTATACTATGGTTCCGAGCTCTTGTTGTGCCCCTTACCTCCTTAAAAAGTCTATTTTAACTGGAAAAGTCAGGTGGTCGTCTTATACGC